AGGGTCCCTCACTGATCATATGGTGTTGCACCATATACCAGGACTCTGGTGGGAGGGATCCCATATATCCCTGTGAGTTTTGATGAGTCTGGCTTTGCATTCTTCCTGGGTGCAGAAGCCTTTCACTTAGTTTCTGGATTTCTCACAAAGGAAATTTTTCCAAGAATTACTGAATCAGTGTGTTGGTGGGGGAAAAAGGGTCCAGGACAACCAACTCTACCATCTTGCTGACACCTCATTTACATATATATTATCCTGCTTTATATTTGCCTACAGGTCACTAAGGCTCTTTTCTTTCAGTCTTTTTCTCCCTGTGCTTCATTTTTCCAGGTATGTCTTCAAGTTCACTGAATTTTTCCTTCCTCTGTGTTTAATCTCCAATAAAATTTTCTTCTCAGATATTTTTCTTTTCTAGAAGGTCCATTTTGTATCCTCCATATCTGTCCTCATTATGTTGTGGTTTTTAAAAATTCTTAAGCATATTGAGCATAACAACTTTTGTAATTTTATACTGATAGCATTTCTCCTGCCATTTCAGTTGGCTGATTGATTTTTTTTTCTGGTTTTGTGTTACCTTTTTTTCCCTTCTTTATATAGATACTGGATATTGTGAAATTTACATTTTTGAATGGTGGCTATTGTTACATTTCTTTTAGAGTGTTGAGCTTTGCTCTATAGGCAGCTAGGTTACTTGCTTGATTCTTTTGAAACTTTAAAAAAGCAGTTTAGGACAGGTCTAAAGTGGTTTAGAGATAGTTGACCTCTACTCCTATCATGTGACTCTTCTGGGCTATCTACCAAATGGTCTGGGTGATCATCTGGGTCCGAATTAGAGTATCTCTGCCCTGTGTCAGCTCTGGGCATTTTACAACTTGCAGCTCCCTGATTACACTTTGCCCAGTCTCGTAGAATCACACCCTACGCATGTACTATTTAATACTAGGAAAGACTGAAGAGGACCTTTCACACATTTCTGAAATTCTCTGCACAGCTTCCTTTTCTCTGGAACTGCTCTGCAACTTCCAGACACATCAATCTCTTTGATCTCCATCTTCTCAACAGTCAGAACAACATGCTCTGTTTGGGATAAGTTTTCTCATTATTTAGAACGTGTCTTCAGGTAGAAAGTTGGTGTGCTCACAGTGCTCACTTCATTTGTATTTCTTTTGTTGGGGATAACAGTCCTTGTTTAAACTTTTTATTCCATCATGGCTCCAAAGGAAGTCCTTATTTTTTGCTCCTGGTGATAGTATGGGGAATGAGCACTCTCATACATTAATTATGAGAATGTAAACTGAGTGTTTCAAAATTTGGCCCAATCTATTAAAATTTAAAATGTACACATAATTTGACTTAGTCTAATCTGTAAGAATATATTCTGTAGAAATAAAAACACAAATGTGCAAGAATAAGCATATAAGGACATTTATTGCTGTGGTTTGCAGCAACAGAGAAATAACCTGAATACTCAGTTTGCGGGGGGGATAGGGAGGATATTATCATGGCATTGCTGGTACTATGTTCATGTTTTGTTCTGTAGGCATTTTTAAAAAAGTCAGAAAAGCAAGTGTATGAGACATACCAACAAAATGCAATGAGCAGGTGTCTTTTAAATCCTGATTCAAATAAACCAACTATAATCATTAATATCTGAAAAATTACTAGATATTAAGTCCTTATCTGTTCAAGATACATGCTGAAATATGTAGAGGGGAAATGCTAAAATATACTGGTTTGGCTTTAAAATATCCCAGCCAAAAATATTTGGAAGATTAACAAGAAAGGTAAAATAGGAGTGATTATTAAAAATATGTAATACTGTATGTTATCTATACTAGATTTAAAATTAAAAAATAAAAAATATGTGACAGGTATATGGCTGTTCATTTTACTATCCTATTTTTGTTATATGCTTGAAATGTTCTACAATAAAAAGTTAAAACTAGTTACAAGTTAAAACAAGTGGACAGTTATTCCATTAAAACATAAATTTTTTTAGACTCAAAGGTGGACCATATTTGAGAACAGAGGGAAACGTCACAAGATAAAAACCAAAGTTTTGACAGTAGATGGGCGGGAGGGAGTGAACGTGATTCTTTTTAATTTGCACTATTTCTTTGGCATGGGTTAAACTTTGTTATGTAACTATATAAGAGGAATGTAATGACCTTTGAAAAGAATTATATGCATGTAGGGGAAATAAAGCTTAATTTTGAATGGGTGTGATGGTATCAATATATCTTAAAGTAGCAATTAAAGCAGCATAGCAGCCACTTCTGTTTGTCTTTATTAATTCTTTGATTAGTGTACATTCCTATCCCCTCACCATTACCTCAATAGGGAAATTCTAAGTTTCAAATAATTTATGAAATAAATATAAAGTACTGAGATAATTAATATTCATTCAAGTTTCACATAAACAATCTCGTAACAATAGCATAAAGAATAAAAATCTAACTAAATCAATCTAGGTCGAGAGACTAGGGAAAGGGTTGTGAAAACTTGAGCTAGAGGAACTCTTCCTGTATAGTGTACTAATTGTAGAACAGAAAAGTACTACAGCACCCGCCAAATTTAATTAACTGCCATAATGCCTTAAATTTCCTCTTATAATTATTCCTTTTGGTTAGCAATGGATTTCTCAAAGTGTGTTCATAATCCAAAGATAGTAAGTATTGTGGAGGAGAAAGGATTCACGGTTAGGACTGGTAAACAATGGGTTAAACAATGGTAATATTTTCTTTATTGCAGGTCTTCTCACAACCTTTTAATTTGGCTTGTTCAAAGTGGAATTCATTGGCCAGTAAGGGAATTTGGTTATACACTGCAGTATACAATGAGACAGGCCCCTCTTCTCCAGTGGTATTTGGAGATTATTGTGTTTTGAACATATTTTGGGAGATTTTGGTTCTGGGTATTTTCTGCCAATATGCAAATCTGTTACATGCCAGATGTATATCAATGACTTAAGATCAATGTAGCAAATAACATTTTACTTACATTTCATTATTTACATTTTCTTTAAATTCAGTGTGGTAATGATGCCATAGTTTGTCCAATCTGAGCAGGGAATGCATGACTGCATTAGCATCACAGTGCTTACTCTAATGATTCAAGGAAGTTCTAATGGTTCTCAATCATCTTTTTTTTTTTTTTTTTGCACTTTTAAAAATGGTGAATTAGCATTTGGATTATAATTTGAGAGAGAGCACATGCGTGCGTGGGGGGTCCTGGGAGGGGGGAAGGCAGGGAGGGGCAGAGGGAGAGAGAGAGAGAGAGAATCCCAAGCAGGCTCCATGCTCAGCACAGAGGCCTATGCAGGGCTCAATCTCACCACTTCAAGATCATAACCTGAGCCAAAATCAAGAGTCAGATCCGACTGAACCACTGAGGGGACCCAGGATTATAATTTTGTAATATAAATGTAAAACCAGTGTTTTTCAGAGTGGGGATAATGAACAGTATTAAGTTGTGAAGACAACGGAGTAGGCGTAGTGTTTATTGCAGACACTGTAATAGAAAACAGCAAGGTGCATCACATGTAGAAAAGGTAAGTATTGTTTTGGGAACTTCTGTTTCAATTGTTCTATCAGTGGTTTTTATTTTACTTTTATTATTATTATTTTATTTTCTTAATTGTTATTTGTGTCCATTATGTACTAATGCATTTCACTATTTATATCATAGTATCTGTTTCCTGAAGTGTAGAAGGAAAACATAATCCATACTTTATGTTTAAAATCACTGCAAGCAGGGGCGCCTGGGTTGATCAGTGGGTGAGGCGTCTGCCTTTGGCTCAGATCATGATCTCACGTCCTGGGATTGAGCCCCATGTCGGGCTCCCTGCTCAGCAAGGAGTCTGCTTCTGCTTCTCCCTCTCCTTCTCCCCCTTCCGCTGCCCATGTGCTCTCTCTCTCTCAAATAAATAAATAAAATCTTTTAAAAAAATAAAATCATTGCATGTACAATCATCTGCTAATTATTTATGTGTTTACTGGGTTTTAAATGTTTTATATTATTCTGAAATCTCTGAGAGAAATCAAGTAGATGGTTTAAGTTGAATTTAAACCTAATCAAGACATTTGAATGGGCTGGAAACATATTATCATTTTTCCCACTTAAAATAATGCAATGTAGACTGAGATTTGGGGATCTGAAAATGTACTATTCAACCTATTATCAGGAATGGATTAGATACAGATAACGAGAAAAAACTGTAGTTAGCAAATTTTGATTTCTCATTTAAGATGGTAATAATTTACATAGTTTTTTTTTTTTTAAAGATTTTATTTATCTAACAGAGAGAGACACAGCGAGAGAGGAAACACAAGCAGGGGAAGTGGGAGAGGGAGAAGCAGGCTTCCTGCTGAGTAGGGAGCCCGATGCGGGGCTTGATCCCAGGACCCTGGGACCATGACCTAAGCTGAAGGCAGACACTTAACGACTCAGCCACCCAGGCACCCCCATAGTTTTTCTTCTTTTAGTAGTTTTTCTTTTAATGGAGCTACTTGGCTATCATTTTGTTGATATATTATTTTTCTCTTAAAGTAGTAATTAGAAAATGTGGAATAATAACTTCTGCTTTTGGAATTTGCTTTAGAAAAATCACCTCTCCTTGATTTTGTAAAAAAGCTCTATAACTCTAAAGGAATTTCTTCTATAACTTGTTTGCAGTATGAATTATCTGGTGCAGCAAAATTTATGAGCTCTAAAATGGAGAGCTTCCTGCCCTTATTATATTCTAAAGCTTCTGTCATAGAATAAATTATCTGGTGTTCAAAAAGGGATAGATGGTAAAAACAAAACAAAAAGGGGGGCACCTAGGTGGCTTAGTTGGATAAGCATCTGCCTTTGGCTCAGGTCATGATCCTGGGGTCTTGGGATTGAGCCCATCGGGCTCCCCATTCAGCTACACCCTGCACTCATTTGTGCGCATGTGCTCTCTCTCTCAAATAAATAAAATCTAAAACAAAAACAAAAAAGGGAATAGATGGTAATAAAATGCTTACATCTTACTGTACTCAAAAATATTCTTACCATTTGACTTCTCTAATAGCATATAATAATGATGATAGTAGAAATAATAACAGATAACTGAGTATCAGATACTGTCCAAAGGGAGTTGCATAATCATTTATAATTTAATCAATGTGATATCATTACATTATTTTACACAAAGAAACTGAGGCACAAAGAGGTTAAGTAACTTCTCCAATTTCACAGGAAATGGTGAAATAGAGATGGTGCTCAATAAAGGATATACTCCAGCATTCCATTCCAAGGTTATAGAGATTCTTAAAAATGTATAATGGGTTCCAGAAGTTATTTCTGCAGTCATTAATACAGCCTTTCTAAAAATCAGTTGATTTTGAGCACAAACAAAAGGATGTCCTAAATTCATTACGAACATAATATGGGTTCTCTAGCATTCCAGAGGTGTTGAAGACATTAAAGCCTTTCTTATATTAAATCATATTCAAGGCTTTTTCAATTATGAAGCCTCATATGTTGAGCAAGTTGTGAATGACGTCTAAAGTCTTTACCACATTGAACACACACATAAGGTTTCTCACCAGTATGGATCCTTTGATGTAGAGTAAGTTCTGAGCCACGACTAAAGGCCTTCCCACATTCCTTACATTCATAGGGTTTCTCACCGGAATGAGTTCTTAGATGTTCAGTAAGATGTGAGCAACGAATAAAGGCCTTCCCACATTGCTTACATTCATAGGGTTTTTCACCTCTATGAATTCTCTGGTGTTCACTAAGTTGTGAGCCATAAATAAAAGCCTTGTCACATTCCTTACATTTGTAGGGTTTCTCACCTGTATGAATTCTCTGGTGATATGTAAGTTGTGTGGCACGAAAAAAGGTCTTCCCACATTCCTTACATTCATAATGCTTCTCACCATGAATTTTCTCATGTTGAGTAAGATATGCACCACGAATAAAAGCCTTTCCACACTCCTTACATTCAAAGGGTTTCTCACCTGTATGAATTCTCTGATGTTCACTAAGTTGTTTGCCACAAATAAAGGCCTTCTCACATTCTTTACATTTGTAGGGTTTTTCACCTGTATGAATTCTCTGATGTTGAGTAAGATTAGAATTAGAAATAAAGGCTTTCCCACAGTCTTCGCATTTATAGGGTCTCTCACCTGTATGAACTCTCAGATGGTAAGTTAGTTGTGAGCCACGGAAAAAGGCCTTCCCACATTCTTTACATTCATAGGGTTTCTCACCTGTATGGATTCTCTGATGTTCATTAAGTTGGGAGGCACATAAAAAGGCCTTCCCACATTCTTTACACCTGTAAGGCTTTTCACCAGTATGAACTCTTTGATGATAAGTAAGGTGTGAACCAAGAATAAAGGCCTTTCCACATTCCTTACACTCATAGGGTTTCTCACCACTATGAATTCTCTGATGGTAAGTGAGTTGAGAGCCAAGGATAAAGGACTTCCCACATGCCTTACATTCATAGGGTTTTTCACCACTATGAATTCTCTGATGGAGAGTATACTGTGAACAGTAACTAAAGGCTTTTCCACATTTCTTACATTCATATGGTTTCTCTCCTGTATGAACTCTCTGATGTTCAGTGAGCTGTGAACTGCGAATAAAAGCCTTCCCACATGCCTTACACTGGTAAGGTTTCTCATTAGTATGAATTTTCTGATGTTGAATCAGATCAGAACTACGGCCAAAAGCCTTCCCACATTCCATACACTCATAAGGCTTTTCACCATTCTGAATCCTCTGATGTTGAATATAGGCTGGCTTTTTGCTGAAGGTCTTCCTATGTTTCTTAACTTCGGAGTGTTTTTCTTTATTATGGCTTTTCTCATGTTGAGTAAGCCATGACAGGTAGTTGAAAGCTTGTTCACATTCCTTACATTTGTACAATTTTTCCTTGGTAGGATTTATCTGATGAAGAATAGGTGACATAGAATGGCTTTGAGTGGCCTTTTCACCACAGGTAATTTTCATGTGCATGTAAAGTCCTTCCTGACTTTTCTGTTGACCCTCAAACTTTCCTTTGCCCTCCATTGTATCTCTAAGACCATTGTAATCAAGGTTATGACTGATAGGTTGACTCATACTCTCCCATTGCAGTGATTCCATTTCATAAGCTCCCTTTTCTGGCGATGACTTTTTGGTCTCACAACTGGATTTCAAGTCTGGAAGATAATAAGAAAGCAAATTCCTGCTGCTTCTGTTTACAAGGAGAAATGAAACTTCTAAAGTAAAAATGGTAGAAAAAGTAAAAATTCTTATAAGAACAGAATGGTTTAAACAGTGCTGAAATATTTTGTGCAATTAAAATAAAAGGCACAAGGAGAAAACATAGAATAAGGGGAGTTTATAGGGAGGAAAGTAATCAGAGAAACAGTTTAAGTGTGTGGTTCTTAAAACTTTGGAGTAGATTAGAATCCAAACAAGGAAGTTTATAAAATAACAGGAAAAACCATCCCCTGGAAACATTCGATCAAATGTCTGGGTAGATATCCAATCTATCAACAAGTCCTATTACTTCTCCTATTAAAGTTTATCAAGTATCTGACCATATCCACTACAATTGCCCTAGGCCAAACCACCTGTCTCTCACTGTAATAGCCTCTTGACTGGTCTCTGTTCCTTGAACTTGGCCCCTACCCTTTGTTCTTCACATAGAAGCCAGAAGAATTCTTTAAAACTGTAATTCAGGGGCACCTGGGTGGCTCCGTCGTTAAGTGTCTGCTTTCAGCTCAGGTCATGATCTCAGGGTCCTGGGATCGAGCCCCGCATCGGGCTCCCTGCTCAGTGGGAGGCCTGCTTCTTCCTCTCCCACTGCCCCTGCTTGTGTTCCTGCTCTCGCTATCTCTCTCTCTGTCAAATGAATAAATTAAAAAAAAAAATCTTTAAAAAAAATAAAAAAATTAAACTGTAATTCAGGGGCACCTGGGGGGCTCAGTCGTTAAGTGTCTGCCTTCGGCTCAGGTCATGATCCCAGGGGTCCTGGGATCCAGCCCCACGTTGGGCTCCCTGCTCAGCGGGAAGCCTGCTTCTCCCTCTCGCACTCCCCCTGCTTGTGTTCCCTCTCTAGCTGTCTCTTTCTGTCAAATAAATAAATAAAATCTTTAAAAAAAATGTAATTCATATCACATTACTCCCCTGCAAAAATCTTCTAAGAGTTTACCATCTCAGAATAATACCCAAAGTCCTTACTTATTATGGCCCACAAGACCTTACTCTACATGAGTTTGCCCTTCTCTGATGTCATCTCTTACCACTCCTAATTATTCATTCTGTTCTCACCACAATGGCTTCCTTGCTGTTCAAAAAAGCCAAGCATGTGCCTCTGTGTTTACCTTTTGGAATGCTCTTTCCCCAGATATCTGCTCTCTCACTTCAGTTTTCTGCTCAAATGTCACATTATCAAAACATCCAATATAGAATTGCACCTATATTACATTTATTAGTAATGGATATACTATTTTTAAAGTTCCTTGTCTGTCCCCCCATGCTTAATCAAAGCAATGACTTTGCTTCATTCTCTGCTTTATTTTTACTGCCTAGAACCATTACCTGCATATTGACACTCAATATTTGTCAGCAACTTTAAAAATGCAAATTTTCCTTCATTTATCAATCTCTCCAGATGCTTCTGGTATAGAAAGAGGTTTGAAAATACAGCTTAAAACCTTTCAATGGTTTACCCCTTCTATTTCAAATAAAATCCAAATTCCTGTTCACGGACTAAAAGCCCCTGCATGATCCATTCCTTGATTACCTTTCTGACCTCATTTTGAACCATTCCTATCTTCAGAAACAATGCTCTAACCTTACTGGCTTTATTTAAGTTCCTGGAACATATAAAATTCTTTCCCATTTCAGGCTCTCACATGCTGTTCCATCCGCCAGAAATGCTCTCTGCCTGGCCAATTCCTTTTGTCTGAAATGTCCTAACTTAAATGGCAGCTGCTCAGAAAGACTATCCCGGAAAACTCTAATTGAGTCTGTGCTTTATCTTAATCTCTATACTTGTACCTTATTCCTCATTCTTGTTTCAATTTTTCCAATTCTAGAATTATATTTCATTTGTTTATGTTGGTCTTCCTACTCCTCAAGCTTTACAAGTATAGAAAAAATATGCCTGTTTATATTCCCCAGAACACAGAAAGCATACACAATATTTTCTTTCCTTTATACATTTTTTCCTTCCCAGTACATTCCACTCAAGGCCAAATGTTGTATTTCCCAGAAAAGCATCTCTAAAATATTCTAGAAAGAGTGACAAGTTTACACAGTAAAGAAAGTTTTAAGTTATTTTGAACAAAGATGAATAGCTATAACCTTTAAATGTAGAAGAACACTATCCAATATGACTGGAGCATGATGCACAGTCTCTGACAACACTGCACATAGGCTGTAGAATGTAACAGAGGATGATATTAAGAAAGAAAATCAACATAAATCAGCAAAATCAAGTTTAAACAGTCTTTAGAAATGAATCAGAGGGGCTCCTGGGTGGTGTAGTCAGTTAAACATCTGACTCTTGATTTCAGCTCGGGTCATGATCTCAGGGTTGTGAGACCGAGCCCCCCATCGGGCTCTGTGCTGGGCGTGGACACTGTTTAAGATTCTCTCTCTCACCCTCTCTTTGCCCTTCCCCACTCTAAAAATTTTTTTAAAAAAGAAATGAGTCAGAAATCCAAGGAAAACATGCTTTTGCTGAAAAGCAGAAAGAAATTATAAACAAAAAAATTATAAACCACAAAAAACCCCCACAGAGCTCAGTTTAACATCAACTCCTGTCAGCAAAATTTACTGGGATGAGATATCTGGCTTGTACTTTGTTTTTGAAAGAGAAGCACAATATGGTTTACAAAACATTAGGAAAGAACCCAGCTGGAATATGGTGATTAAGGGAACACTGTAAGGATCAAATAAATCAAGTTTAGACCCAACTGCTCTCCATGTTATAATAACATGATTAAATTGTTATTTTTGTTGTCATTAAATTAATGGAAGAAAAAATGAGAAAACTGAAAAAGAGGTAATGGCTTAGGATGACAAAACGGAGTCTGAAAAGCAGAAGTCATTTGGGGAGACCTCTTTCATTCTTGCCCCCCTCAACTCCTGCTGAACTGATCTACTAAATTGCTCTTGAATCTGTTTCTTATCCCCAATGCCACTACCAACACTCTGAGAAAGCCAAAGCACCTCTTGTTTGAACCTCTTGTTTGAACAATAACCTACTCAATCATGTCCTGAGACCCTTTCTTCTAATCTCCATCTGGCAGTCAAGAATGATATATTAAATATGTAAATTGCATTGTTTCACTGTCCTACTTAAGATTCTTCATTAGCTTGCAAATGCTTTGGGGACAAAATTCAAAGATAAGAAATACATATTACATTATGATCAAATACACAAACATAAAACAAATAGGTCATGAAATTATCTTTGCTACATGGGATGCATTTTGATTTTTTTTTAAATTTTCTCTTCTAGGGGCACCTGGGTGGCTCAGTCGTTAAGCGTCTGCCTTGGGCTCAGGTCGTGATCCCAGGGTCCTGGGATCGAGCCCCGCATCGGGCTCCCTGCTCCGCAGGAAGCCTGCTTCTCCCTCTCCCACTCCCCCTGCTTGTGTTCCCTCTCTCGCTGTGTCTCTCTCTGTCAAATAAATAAATAAAATCTTAAAAAAAAATTTTTTTTCTCATGGGGCACATGGGTGGCTCAGTTGGTTAAACGACTGCCTTCAGCTCAGTTCATGGTCTCAGGGTCCTGGGATCGAGCCCCGCATCAGGCTCCCTGCTCAGCGGGAAGCCTGCTTCTCCCTCTCCCACTCCCCCTGCTTGTGTTCCCTCTCTTGCTGTCTCTCTGTGTATCAAATAAATAGATAAAATCTTTAAAGAAAAAAAGTTTTTTCTCTTCTGTTATTTTCTTTAAGAAATAAAACTAAAAAAAATTTTTTAAATGCTGCTCATAACCCACAAGTCATTTTTTTTTCCACAAGTCATTTTTTAAAGATTTATTTATTTATTTTAGAGAGGGAGAAAAAGCACGTGCGCCAAGTGGGAGGAGAGGCAGAGGAAGAGGGAGAGAATCCTCAAGCAGACTCCCCACTGAACGCGGATCCCAATGATGTAGCTCCATCCCAGGACCTCAAGATCATGACCAGAGCCAAAATCAAGAGTCGGATGCTTAACCAACTGAGCCACCCAAGCACCTCTACCAAGTCATTTTTATAACCCCTAGAAGGTTCTTCCTGGCCTAGACCCTGCCAGACTCTCCAAACTCACACCTGGCATCTGTCCCTCACTAGGCTCCAACTATAAGGGCCTTCTTTGAATACCTCATATTACACCAAGCTCCATCCTCCTATAGCCTTCAGTATACTGTTGCCTTTGCCAGGAATGCTCCTTCCCTCTACCCTCAGCCTCCCTACCTGCTTTACATCCTTTCGGGGCTCACCTGAAACTTCACGTCCCTTTGCTATTCCTGAAAAGCTGTCCCCAATCCCAGACTCCAGCAATGCTGCACCTGTATTTCTCTCTTATATTAAGACAGCCACTCCACCCACTGCAGCCTACAAGAGAAGCTCCCAGAGCTTTGGATGTTGGTACGACCTTCATATCCTGCTATTAATGCTGGCTTCTCCCAGGAAGGCTTGACTTCCATCAGCTCTTAGTCCAACAATGCCACTGCCCTTAGGTTATAATAGGAAGAAGTACTCATCTTCCCCAGAGAACTACTCCAGGACCAATCCTGGAATTGGGATACCTGGGTATCCCAATACTCCTGGAAAGCCCTGGTTTCCTGCATCCTTGTTCAACACTAAGACTCTCATCCTATTCCAGGTCTAGACATCTTTTATTGTGACACAGTATTCTCTTGCTCTCTAACCAGCAGGCCTTCAGGAATTCACAGTATACTTTCTGCAAATACTCTGCAACCTCAGCCTCCTTCCCTTCTGTGGGTTCTCTTCACCTCTTGCTCTGTTTGCAACTTTGAGCACACTGCTTCCTCTGAAGCACTATTTTCCTCTACCTCATTCCACTTACCTTCCCCCCACAGTAGACATAATAGACCTTGTTATTTCCAATTATGGCAAGACCTCCAAAATCTCAATTTCGAGTAACCATCCTTTCTGATCACTAACACCCGTATTTCCTGATCACTTACTCTTGTACCATCTCTCCAATACTTATCTCATTCTTAAAGACTCCTTTGAAATCAAAACAAAATAACCTCTCCTGTGATTGTATGGTTCACCCTGCAGCTCCTATTCATTTACTGTACTCCTTCCTGGTAAAACTTCTCAAAAGAGATGTCTGTTATTTCCTGTCAGTAATTTTCCCCCCTTTCTCTCCCACCCTTAGAACTTAACATTTTTGTCATATTTCCTTCTAGGCTTTTTCCCTTGCACTTTTATGCAGTTGAAATAGTACTACATATACAAACTTGAATCACACTTCTTTGTCCTAATTATCACAGCACTATTATTAAAAACTTCTAATACATTTTAAAACTCTATTTATACTTTTGAGAATTCCTCAAATGGGCCCTCAACACTGCCTGGTGAGTTAAGTCACTGTCCCACAACAGTTTTTATTGTTGGCTTATTTATTCTCTTCTTAATCCTCTACCGTCAGGTTGTCATTCCTCATTTCCAAACCTACTCTGTCTGGGTCACCAGTCCCCTCTGTCTTGCCAAATCCAATAGCCAGGTCTCATCCTTCATCCTCCTTGACCTCATGGCAGCATCTCTCACAGTTAACTGCTCCCTCCTTGTGTTTGTCATTGGCTTCCCGTCCTCTGCATTCCTGATTGCATCCTAGATCAGAGGTTGCTTAAGTTACTCCTGAATTTCCTTTGCTGGATCATTTTCCTTTTCCTAGCTAAGTGCTGGAATGCCCCATGGTTTAGCCCCTGGACTTCACCTTGACTTCCATCTAGATCAATTCCCTCCATAATCTCATCTAACCCTATAATCCAGAGATTAACCTCATATTTATTCCTCAGTCCTGACTACCATCCTGCAGCATTTTAAATGCTTCTCTAACTTCTCTATTAAGGATATTTAATGGCCATCTCAAATGCATTACTCTTGACTTCCTTCTGCAAGCTTCCAAACTCTGATACCTCTTTCTATTTCTAATCCTTCAGCAAATCCTATTAATTTTACCATCAAATATAACCAGACTATAACACATTCTCAGCACCTTCACATATTAAACCCCATTCCAAGCCACTATTATCTCTAATGTGGAATCCTGAACTAGTCCTCTAACGGGTCTTCCTGCTTTCATTTTTATCCTCATTTACACAAGCACCCAGAGTGATCTTTAAACAAAGATCCCCTACTCACCTGCACAAAACCCTCCAAGGGCTTCTTATCATGCTTAGGATAAAATCTCATTCCTTGCAATGGCCTATGTGGCCTTATACGACCTGTTCTCTGCCTATTTCTCTGACTTCATCATTAATTTCCACTTTCACTCTCTTCGTTCTAACCACACAACCTTCCTGCTGATCCTCAAATAAGTGAAGTTCAGCATTTCCTCAGGACCTCGGCACTTCTGTTCCATCTGCCTAAACACATACTTTTTTTTTTTTTTGGCATGGCTAATTTCATTTAGGCCTCAGTTCAAAATTAGCTCCTCTGGGAGATCATCCCTGATTATCCTAATCTAAGAACACAGCAAGCTCTCAACAAACACTTTCTGGCTGGAGATACCAACTCAATTAAAAAAAGAAAGAAGAGAATTATCTCTGGAAGAAACCAAAGGTAGCTTCTTCATTAAAACAAAAGGGGAATATGAGAGAGGAAGAGTAGTGAATGTGAGTTGGAAGGGAACTTCCTTTGAGAACTCATATTGATATCACCTTCCTGCTGAGACCTTAGACTTCTTTCCGCAGGCCTTTGAAGAGAGAGCTTCACACAAACATCTCAAAGTGCTGCCACCTCACAGACCAGCTGTATTATTATCAGCAAGAGTTTCTCTTATGTGACTAGCTCTTTATTCACCTGAGCTCCTTCTTCTTGTCATGGCCCTCATCATCATCCAGGGGTCCTTCCCTTGCTCCGATAAAGAAAATACATCTGGTTTAGGGATCAAACATCCAGCTTAAAAGAAAAGAAATGGGATATGATCATGGTATGGGAGTCCCAGATTCAAATCCAGTCCATTGGTCATCAAAGAGACACTGAAGGAAGTGACAGAGGAAAATGTGAAGGTCTGAAGGATGAGAAATAAAAAAGCATACACAGTGGAGCTGTCTACTTCTGTTATCTAGGATGCAAGGGGAAGTTATTCAAATAACAAATGTGTCTTAAAGCTATCAGTGGAAGGGAGGAAGAGAAGGGACAAAAGCAAGGAAGGAAGGTGTCTTGTTTTGCAGAACCAACAGTTCCAGCAAAGGAGACACCTAAGTAGGTGTTTTACCTGATAGCCCCTTGCTAAGTGTGTCTAGCCCAATAGCCCCTGATGTGAGTCAGTTTGAGCCAGAAGGGAGCTGAGGACCTGCACAGAAGCCCCCCTGAGCTGACCTGAAGTTACCTTTAGCTCACTGTAATACTAAGATGTACTACATGTTGGCTAACTGAATTTAAATTTTAAAAAATACTACTAAGGGGGTGCCTGGGTGGCTCAGTCGTTAAGTGTCTGCCTTCGGCTCAGGTCATGATCCCAGGGTCCTGGGATCAAGGCCCGCAACGGGCTCCCTGCTCCATGGGAAGCCTGCTTCGCCCTCTCCCACTCCCCCTGCTTGTGTTCCCTCTCTCACTGTCTCTCTCTCTGTCAAATAAATAAATAAAATCTTAAAAAAAAAATACTACTAAGATCTCTTCCTATGAGTAGAGTTTTGTGCCATTTTTTGAACATACATGTACACACTGGCACGTTGAAATTCTGGACATGTGCAACTGGACCAGAAGTGCCCATATGAGTTCCCTGCCCCTGCTCCCTGCATAAAAACTTCCTGTACTAACCCCACAGGGAGACAGTGCTTTCAGAACGATCTCCTGGTTTCCTTACTTGTAAAAGTAATAAAAAGTTCTTTGCTTTCAACATTTCCTTGGATTGTGTGCAATTTGGTACACAACAAGCAGTGAACTACTCAAGTTTGGTTACACCTCTATCTCCAAAAAACTCAAACCTTTCCTTAGGGAATAAAAACCAGAAAATCATAATGACGCAGGCAGAAAATATGGGAGACAAGTTCTGAGTACTGTAGAAGATGATCTTACCCAGGGAGATCAGGTTGCTGTAATTCTCCAACATCACATCCCTGTACAAGTCCCTCTGAGTGGAGTTAAGGCATTCCCACTCCTCCTGAGAGAAGTCGATGGCCACATCCTTGAAAGTCACCAACCACTGAAACAAGTCCATTTATTATTGGTGAAAATATGACAATGACTTTGAGGTAAAAAGAGGAGGGCATGAAGGAAGGGGATGACACAGTAAATAGGTCATGGCTGAACACCTTGTAACATTAAAGGAAATTAGGTGCCTGAACAATAGTGTCAACATGATCCATGATCACTCCTATTGCTACAGAGGAAGATAAAATTTCCTATGTAAAATAGGATAATTCTATTATCCAGAAAAACCCAGGAATACAAAAGGCCAGATGAATGCAGCTATATAATTAAATGAAATGGTATATGCAGTCAGACAGAATATTAAGCTTTCAAATTCTCAAAAAACAATAATTATCAATAAATATGAGTTCTTTCCTTCTCTTCTCCCCTTGAAGAAAAAGGTAAACAAATTTAATGAAATGTTTCCAAATAATTTTTAATAAATCTCTAGGCTAAAACATAGAATTTGGGGGGTGGTCCCTGGGTGGCTCAGTCAGTTAAGCATCTGACTTCAGCTCAAGTCATGATCCCAGGGTCCTGGGATCGAGCCCTTCTATGGTGTTCCCTGCTTGGAAGCGAGTCTGCTTGGGATTCTCTCTCTCCCTCTCCTTCTGCCCCTCCTCCCACTCACACACACACTCTCTCTCTCTCTAAACAAATAAATAAATAATAAAATATTTTTTTAAAAAAGAATTTTTTGAAGATTCAAATTCTTCAAGTCACAATATTATGTCACAGAATATAACTGATATTTCCATTTTATGGATGAAATGATCTGCTTATTTGGGATTATTTCAATTAAGTTCTCTAATGTCTTTGAGCCCTAAGAATCTACAGTTTTCAAGAGAGTAGGCATTTGGGAGATTTTATTTCTACTTCCTTTTGTGCAAGCTGATGGATGCCAATCTAGGTGCTATAGGCATCACAGACACATTCTGGCCAACTCCAAGGTAAACCTGACTGCTGATCATCCTCTCATTGGTTCCTGGGCAAGAGGGTTGTGGTACATGGAATAACAGCCCCCCAAAGATGTCCACATCTGAATCCCTGAACCTTTGAATATGTAACCTTATATGACAAATGTAGATGTGATTAGGATCTTTAGATGGATAGATTATCCTGGATTATCTGGTTGGGCCCAATGTAACCATAAGGGTATTTTAAGTGCCAGAATCAGACAGAAGAGTCAGAGAAGGAGATGTGATAATGAAAGCAGAAGTCAGAATGATGATTGCTGGCTCTAAAAATGGAAGGGAGCCATGAGCCAAGGAATGTGGGCAGCCTACAGCAGCTAGAAAAATGCAAGCAAATAGATTCTCCTCTAGAACCTCCAGAAGAACACAGACCTACCAACACCTTGATTTTAGCCTGTAAAACCAATTTCGGACTTTGACCTCCAGAAGTATAGATAATAAACTTGGGTTGTTTTAAGTCACTAAGTTTGTAATAATTTGTTACAGCATCAACAGGAAACTATATAAGAGGCAAGATCTCTTCCTTCTCAGACTTTAGTTCCCCACCCAATCTTAAAAGCCTCACAGAACATGTCCTCACACACTGAGACCTGGAACATCCAGCAGAAATGCTGTCACTTCCAAGTGGGAAACCTAGGTTTGTAGAGATCAGTTTGTTATGGGTCCCATGTAACTACCTCACCAAACCGTTATACTAATACTGCTCTTAAGGGTAGACATTTCTGCTTCCTTAGGGCTCCTGGCAGAAGACTTTGCATGTAAAATATGTAGAATGAGCTGGAAAAAACACCTAAACACTGTCTGGTGAGGGGAAAAGCATTTAGAGAATGGAGCTCTTTGCTAGGATCAGTCACTGGAATGGGAAAAATTGGGGAGCAGTTCCCTTAGGCAACTAAGGCAGGCAGAAAATTTGGGGATAAATAAATCTGGTGTTCACATCACACAACAAATGATTGTGCTCGAAGGAGGAAAAATGAAACAGCAACTCACATGGGGCATGTTTTTTAGAACTGTCAGGACTGATCGGTTTTCTGGGTTCTTCTCCTGGAGATGTGCAGAGTCCAAAGAAGGCAGAGCTAGAGAGGGAAAAAGAAGCCATGAGGTCAGGATTGCCTCAGAGCCCACAAAATAAGCACCTTGGGACTACCTTTATTTCACCTCTTTGAGGGAGTTTGGAAAAATCTTAGCCTTCCTTCAAATCCAATGGAATACAGCTGTGGCAGAAGGAATTCATGCCAGAGTTTTCCTTAATCCCCATGATCCTTAGCAGGACCTCAGAGGGTGCTAGTTTTCCAGGGTATCTCACACCTTTAGTGTAGGGGCATACCTAGGAAGCCCTGGGGAGCACAGCTTCCCCAGGTATCCCTCCCCAACACATACATACAAGTATGAAGTGAGATGCTTTGCTTTCACAGCTTAAGGGGTCAATCCCATAAGGCTGCTCCTAACTCCAGAAGCCAAACTGAAATCCCTGGCCATCAGTACTTCTGACCAACCAGCTATAAACTGGGGGCTCCCACAATCTCCTCCTAAGTTTTATACTTTGTTAGGATGGCTCACATAACTCAGGAAGGTATTCTACCTACATTTATGAATTTATTATAGAGGCTACAACTCTGGAACAGCCAAATGGAAAAGATGCATAGGACAAGGTATTGGCAGGGGGAATGCTTGGAGCTTTCCATGCCCTCTCTGGGAATGCCAACTTCACAACAGCTCAATGTGTTCAGCAACCCAGAAGCTCATCGAATCTCCTAGTGCAAGAGTTTGTATGGCCCTTAACCTCCAGTGTCACCCACCCTTTTCCTGGAGGTCAGTGGATGGGTTGGAAAGTTCCAATCCTCTAATCACTTAGTCCTTCTGGTAACCCCAACCCCATTCTGAGACTATCTAGGGGCCCACCCTAGCCACTTCATTAGCATAAATTCAGGGGCTTGTTATGAAAAATGAAAGACACTCCTATCACTCAGAAAATTCCAAGGGTGTCAGGAGCTCTGTGCCAAGAACTGGGGATAAAAACCAAATATATTATTATATCACAAATACTACTGTAAAATTTGACATATCAGCAAACAAAAATCCAACAATTATGATGTTAAAAAAACAATCATAATTAAGTGGGACTTTCTCTGTAATAAAAAGATGGTTTGATATTAGAATGTCCACTTATATAATCCACGTTATGAATCGTTGTATGGAAGAAAATCATACTATCTTCATAAATGCCAAAAAAATTTCACAAAATTTACCATCCATTCCTGATAAGAACACAAGAAATAGGAATTGATGACTATTTTAATGATAGTCGGGAAAACTGACATGAATGGAGCCATTTAAAATGAAGCTAGGGGCGCCTGGGTGGCTCAGATGGTTAAGCGTCTGCCTTCAGCTCAGGTCATGATCCCAGGGTCCTGGGATTGAGTCCTGCATCGGGCTCCCTGCTCCTTGAGCGCCTGCTTCTCCCTCTGCCTCTCTCTCTCTCTCTCTCTCATGAATAAATAAATACACTCTTTAAAAAAAAAAAAAATGAAGCTAGATGGACCACTCCAGAGAAATTGCCTTATGCCTCTCCGTTTGAACTGGGTCAAAACCTGTAGACTGGGCAAAACAGCAACTGTTTCAGGCAACTGCTTGAAATGTCAGCAGGAGAACAGATCTGATCATAAGACTGAAGGTTGTGGACTTTCTGAAGAAATAATCAGTAGTCAATCAGTGTATAACCAAGAGTAATTTAGCTTTTTTTTTCTCTTAACTCATGTTAAAAAAAAAAAAACACCTTGTTTTCACTCTACAAGTGGGACACTATTTGGTTTCTATCTGAATCTGCACTCCCTGAATTGAAAATTTTTTATCCTAATAAATGCTCATTTGCCTCTCATGGCAGCATTCTATTTCCAGGTTTCCAGTAGAAACAAGGCAAGAATACCCACTACTCTATCACTTATCATTGTATTAGCTATATTAGTCAATATAAAAAGGCAAGAGAAATCAACAAGACCAACAAGAATAAGAAAAGAATAGGCAAACTCCCTCTATGTGATATGACAGCATGCCTAAAAACCCCATGAGTGCAATGAAAGAAAAAAAAAAACAACTTAGTAAATTAGCAGGATATAAAATTGGCATGAAAAGAAATGACCTTTATATATAAAACAATAATCACATAGAAAATATAATAAAGAAAAGCCACAAAAAGAATGAAATACCTAGGCCCAAGTTTGACAAGAAATGTATAAAACCTACAAGAAGAAAAACTTGAAATACTCCTGAAAGACCTAAAAATAGATTTGAACAAATAGTTAGAACAGCATTTCTCAACATCTTTTTCCATCATTGCCCCTCTGAAGAGCCATTTTATTTATTTATTTATTTATAATTATTTATTTATTTTTAAAGATTTTATTTATTTATTTGACAGAGAGAGATACAGCAAGAGAGGGAACACAAGCAGGGGGAATGGGAGAGGGAGAAGCAGACTCCCCGCCGAGCAGGGAGCCCGATGTGGGGCTTGATCCCAGGACCCTGAGATCATGACCTGAGCTGAAGGCAGATGCTTAATGACTGAGCCACCCAGGCACCCCCAAATTTAAATTCATTAAGCAAGAAAATTAAAAAAGCAAGAATAGCCAGAAAATGCCTAGAAAAACAAGAGAACAGAGATTTAAAAGATGTTATAAAGTCTCTATCACTAAAATACTGGTTACTGGCACCTGAATAGACATTCAGATTAATGGAATTGTAGAACATTTGATCTCTAGGGAAAAATGGATTATTTAATGTTATTGAAAAAAGTAAAATTGGATCCACATTTTATACCACATACCAGGATTAACTCCAAATGGATAAGAGATCTAAATATTAAAAACTGAATAAAAATGCCACTCTTAGTTCATTTGGCTGCTATAACAAAATACCACAGACCAGGCAGCTTATAAACAACAGAAATTTATTTCTCACAGCTCTGGAGGCTGGAAGTCCAAGATCAGGGAGTCAGCTTGGCCAAATGAGGGCCTTCTTCTTGGTCACAGACTTACTGTATCCTCACTGGGCTTCTTTTATAAAGGCACTAATCATATTCATGAGGAATTTACTCTCATTATCTCATTACCTCCCAAAGGTTCCACCTCCAAATACTATGATTTTGGGCATTAGGATTTCAACGTATGAGTTTTTTGGGGAGGGTCAAACATTCAGCCCACAGGCATGCTAAAAGAAAAAAATGGTTGAGTTCCTTTTAGGTTGAGAGGAGAAAATCTTTTCTATTTCTTACAATCAAATGAATACATTTTACTGTATTTAAAAACTGCCTAGGGCGCCTGGGTGGCTCAGTTGGTTAAGCGACTGCCTTCGGCTCAGGTCAGGATCCTGGAGACCCAGGATCGAGTCCCGCATGGGGCTCCTTGCTCAGCAGGGAGTCTGCTTCTCCCTCTGACCCTCTTCCCTCTCGTGCTTTCTATCTCTCATTCTCTCTCTCTCTCTCAAATAAATAAATAAAATCTTTAAAAAAAAATAAAAATAAAAATAAAAACTGCCTAAAAGCACACAAACACAAATAACAAATTGGGAGATTATCTGCAACCTAAAAAAAAAAAAAAAGTGACTCTTCCTAAGACCAAAAGAGCTTCACTTTAAAAATCAAGATAAAGGGGCGCCTGGGTGGCTCAGTTGGTTAAGCGACTGCCTTCAGCTCAGGTCATGATCCTGGAATCCCGGGATCGAGTCCCACATCAGGCTCCCTGCTCAGCAGGGAGTCTGCTTCTCCCTCTGACCCTCTTCCCTCTCAT